TATAATATTTTTAAATATATAAATTTTAAATATTTAAATATATTTAAATTATTTAGAAAAATATGCTTATATATATATATATATATTTATTTTTTTTAGTTTTTATGGGAGTGTTTAATTAGTAGTAAACTGGCTCATCTCCATCCCTGTCATGTTATGACTGGACACTGGAGCCTGACAGACACATGGTCACTTTCCAAAATAACCCAGTAATCACTTACACAGATGAGTGGAAGTAAAGACAAAATACTATAGGCATGTTTCCAAGTGACAAAAAAGAAAAAGAAAAAATGAAACGAAAATGTCCATAAAGCCCAGTGAAATGTAAGTAATTCAAGTTATTAAGCCGAATGAAGCATTTTAGTCACCATTCAGGACAAAAATAAGCTATTTTTCAGTATTATGACTGTAATTATAGAGTGCAACTGTATGATGTCACTGCTCTCTTGTATATCTTAGTGAGCTTAAATGAGGACCATTTGTTCTCTTATTAAAACACACCCACATGCAGTTTAAGATTGTAGTAAAATCAATTGGTTTAACAGTGCTTCACGGTCTTGTATTAAAAACGTGATACATATATATAACAGTCAGTGATATGAGCCAGAGTAAAAAACTGTTTCATGGTTCAATTCATGACCCACAAGTCAAGACAGATTAGACCTGATTGGGTTGTTGCTGGTGCCATATGTGACCTACAGTCTGCGCTCTGCTAGCATTAGTAGACAGGAGGGTCGCCAATCTCCCTAGGCAAAGGTTTCCATGGAAACGACCCCTGGATTCTCTAGTCTGCCGTTTTGCAGTCCTCACTCATCTTGAGGCTGAATTATCCTAGATTCCTTTATGTCAGTTCCATATTCTTCTGCTCTATTTCCTCCCTCTCTCACCCACTCTCTCTTTCCCTAACTCGCCGTCTCTCTTTCCTGTGGTCTTTCCCTCTTGCTCTTGCTAAGAGCTCTGTTGTATGCCGTTTGGAATTTCACAGAAATGTGTAATCATGCTCTATTTTTAACGAGTCATTATGATTTTCCTCTTCAGTTGTGTGTTTTTAGGTACAAGCAAATGTGCAGTACTATACTGTTTTATGACTTCCGTGTCAGTGATTTACAATCTGTAGCCTATTTATTCATTTTATTCGCTCTTATGTTTTTGACCGAATGTACTAAAAGTAAAATTAAAATGTTTAATTGTAACTATGCTAACAGCTCCACTATTCAGGATCTGAAATGATATCTGAAATGCAGTGATACACTAGGTAAAGTCACCGGGAGTGCAATTATCCATGTATGAGGGCTGAAGTACTAATGGAGGATCTCACATGGGAGTCAAAGGTCACGAGCGGCGGTGTTGAGAAACGAGGCCATTTGTCTTCTTCACACCAGCCCCTTGTGTGATCTATCAGCTTTGCAATCTTCGAAAACATTAAATTGCAAGTGACTCAAGGGATTTGAGAACTATTTGATAGACGACCACATGCATTACTCTATCAGTTCACCCCCTCCAACCCCCCTGCGCCTAGACAGCACATTTTTCACCCAAACTCCAGGGGGCACTGTTGGCATAATATGAATTTATAGTGTCATTGATCAACCAAGTGAATTCAGGGCAAACTACTTGGCTTGTGTATCCATGAATAGAAGCATGCTACTAATTTCAAATTTCGAAATAAATAATTATTTCTTTAATTTAAATGCCGCAGTGCACAGTGTCTTTTGTGTGACTTTTGTGTGTGGATAACGTTATAAATATTACCAGTTGCTAACATATATAGAAAAAAATCCATTAAAATATATATTTTTTTAAATAATAAATTGAAATACGGTTTAAATCTTAGTAACAGCTTTTATATA